ATTCTATTTTTTCACAGACTTTTTGCAGTTCCCTTGTACACTGACACACTACGAAAATTTGGTATCATTGCCTTGATTAGGCTAATGATTTACCCATCGTTGCAACTGTTCACATAATGAAAAATATAATATGTCTTGATGTTTTTAATAAAATTTTTGTGATATTGCAGTGGGCCTCCAGACGACTCTTGCAGACACTGTATCTGACAGTGTGTCAGATTTCTTGTGCTGCTTAGATTTGATTTCAACAGTTACGGTTCCTTAACACATTTCAAGTGGTGCATTAGGTACTTCTTTTATATATACTTGTGTTTGTGTATATATGTATATATGTATATATACCTCTCCTACTTTTCAGTATTCGCTATTGTGTTCATAGCTTATTAAAGTATCTTGTTTTCGGTGTTCACCACTATTTAATGTCTTCACATTGGTCCATTTTTTATCAGTGATATGCACAGAGATATTTCTTATAGCTGTCCTTCCCTTCTTGTCCCCCAGACATTTTGTGTAGTCCTATCTGACATGGATACTATATAAAAAGAATTGTGTGTTTGGTATTTCCAAGGAAATATAGCATACTTTTATGTTCCTGTTTTTGACTCTGGGCCTTTGGGAGAAACATAATTATGCAACACCAAGTGGAATAACAACCTCATTATCATTGCTTTTTCTTGCTGCATGTTGATACTCAACAGTTTTTCCTGTTGTATGTTTAAGATTAGTGGATAGTAAATACAAAATGAGGTAAGAATAACTTGAGCTCCTGTTTACTCTGAACATATTCAAGAGAGCCACAGTATTCTTTGACAATAGTGGATTTTTTCTCCTGCAGCTAAAATCTATGCAGTAGTTGATTTTTCTTTTGAATCCTAGAGTTGAATCAACAAGTGTTGTCTACAGTTACCCAAAGAGAAATAAAAGGTTTCTCAACATCATTGTTAGTCATTGATGTCTTCTATTTATATAATTGTCAGTAACTAATAGCTTGGAGTCCTGGTGTGGTGCTGTGGGTTAATGTGTCAGACTGCAAAGTCATTTGAACTGCTCCTTGGAAACCCTATACAGGGTCGCTATGGGTCAGAATCGACCCGACTGCACTTAACAACAAACAACAATAGCTTAAGAATGGAATCCTGGTGTGGCGCTGTAGAATTGGCACTGGACTATGACTCAACGGGAGTTAACAACAACTACCCTTAACCTCAAGGTTGGCAGTTAAAGCCCATCAGTTGTTCCTTGGAAACCTTATACTCAATTGCTGTGAGTCAGAACTAACTCAACTATATTTAACAACAATAGCGTATGAATATAAAGATGAAATTTTTTAATGGATTTTTTTACTCAGAACAAAACTAATTTTTCCTCATAAATAGACAGATCCAGTAGATTCTTTTTTATTTTGTTTTGTTATTTCTAAAAGTCATTATAGCATTTTATCACACAAGTGTATCACATAGGCAGTATCCCAATTCTCCTTTTGTGTGTTTGAGACCATTGACTTTCAGTCAGGTATATATATTCTATGAAACCACAACTTTTCCGTGTGTTGCTGTTAATATCATTGGTGCTATTCAGTTTGTTGTCTAATCAGGGACTTAAATTCCAAATATTGGAGTAGCCAGATTGGAATCTACATATTAAATTTATGAAAGCAGTTTAAAAAAGATACTTGGTTGGTATAAACGAAGGATAATATAAGATTCTTTAGTAAACTCTTTTTTAAAAATATATGATAAATTCTGAGAAAGACTTGTTTGAGTAAGATTTCAGCTATAAAATTGAGTATGAGTAATATCAGGTGTTTGAGCTGAAAATGAGTCAGTAGTATAAGAAACTATAAAATGCTCAGTCCTTGCTACATTCTGAAATCCATTGATAGAATCAGGTTACCATAAAGAAGGAATTAGTGGCACTACTCTTCCACAGTGATTCAGAGATTTTTAAAACAAGCTTTCACAAATTTTTTTGTTTTTTTCCATTTTGTTAAAAGTATAAGACAAAGTTTTCTGTTTTAACCACTATTAAGTGTGCAATCAGAGGCATTCATTGCTTTCACAATGTTTTCCCATCATACATTTTCAAATCTTTTTGTACCCCCAGTCACAAATTCTGTACCCATTAAGCAACAATTCCTTCTTCTCACTTGTCCACAGCCCCTGATAACTTCTAATCTGCTTTCTGTCTGTAAGCATATAAAATTGTATGTTCTAAATAATACATTGTTTTCCCCTTTCATGTCTGGCTTATTTCACTTAATCACTGTGGCACTATAGGTCAGCATCTCAATGTCGACAGTTCAAACCCACCAGCTGCTCCTCAAAAACCTTGTTCATTATCCCTATGAGTCATAACTTAATCAGTTGCACTTAGCAACGCTTTTAAGGTTAGTCCATGCTATGTCAAGTATCAGAATTTAATTTTTTTATGGATGAATAAGTGTGTGTGTGTGTGTGTGTGTATAAATATATGTGCACACAATAAGAAATGCAGACAGGAAGGAGGCGGTATAAAAGGAAAAACAGCTAAACGTGGTGGTGAAGTGCTGTTGAGTTGGTTCTGACTCATATTGACCCCTATAGGCTTTCTGAGAAGTGGTTGGTGAGTTTGAACTCCTGCCTACCTTTAGCTTCAAACTGATCTTTTAATCCATTGTTTATACGACAGTGCTACACCAGGAATTTATTATGTTTATTTTTTTGCTGATGAAGATGTGGGCTGTTTGGTGCTTTTGGGTATCAGGAGTAATTATTCTGTGAACACTGGTATACATGTATTTGTTAGAAGTCCCTGTTTTCCAATCTTTTAGTATCACAACTTGATTTTAAATTTGCAGTTAGTTACTATATTTCCTCCAAATAATTTATACTTGTTCCTGGACTTGAAATTCATAGAACTAGAGTCTGTGAGCGGCTTATCTCTTGTGATCTCAAGTATGTATCGTGCATTTTTGCTTTCTCCTGCCATATTTCATTAACCTCTGATTGTCTGGTGCCGTTTTAGTTGATTCCAATCCTATAGTAATAACCTTATACAGGGGTTCCACGGCCGTAAACCTTTGTGTGAGCAGAAAACCTAATCTTTATCTTGTCATAGGTTATGAGCCTAAAATTAGTTACAGAAAAATTTTTTTTTTTTTGCTTTTCTGTTTATCTTTTTTTTAATGTTGTGAATTATGTGATACTTCACATGGGAGAACATTAGCTTTACATTCATCCTATCATATATCATTTTATTGCCATAGTTACAATGCCCTCCATGCATCACCAACCAACCAAATGGCATACCCTGTAAGCCTGCCTCCCTCCCCCGCAGGTCTCAACACACAGCCCCTCTCCCTCCTGGGTCTAGAATCTCTAGCCACTCCATCTGTCCACGTCATTGTCTCTGCCCCCAACTCTCCAACTTTATGTAATCCAACTTTAGAAAATCTTCCTGAACTTTCTTAACTGGCTAAAGAAATACAAATGAAAGAAAAACCTGTTTTAGTAAATTTGTTGGGAAAGTTTATGATAGAACAGGCCAAGGAAATTCCTACCCCTAATTAGGAACTTAACACAGCCCCAGTAAATATCCAAGAGCACTGAGAGCTCTTTGACTACCCAGAGAAAACCCATGAATAGCCTCAATTTTCAAGGGGCTTTAATGCACAAGCATTAGCTCGTTTAGATTTTGAAAAGTCTACCACTCCTGTGAGAGTGAAAGCCTGAAGTAGCAGTTGGAGCCTGGATTAGGACATCAGTTCGCTTTATAAGTAGGTAGAGAATTATTGCCACAATAAGCTCATTTCATAGCATGGATCAGCAAATCAGGCACTAGAGCATGGCTTTTCAACTGCAGCATTACTAACAGTTGCCTGGATTGTTTTGTTTTTGTGTGGGTGACTGTTACGTGCATTTTAGGGTGTTTAACAGTACCCATGGCATGTCAGTAGTATGTTCCCAGTGCAACAGCTAAAAATGTCTCCGGATATTGCCAAATGTCCCTGAGGATATGGCATTTCCTCTGGTGAAGAACCTGTACTTGAGAACTGTGGGATAGTAGCAGCTTTAGTAAGCTATCAAGTAGATTCTTTTTACCCAGTTAATTCCTTGAAATGCATAGGACCATGCATTTCTGGTATTCTTCCTACCATTTTATCCTTCTTCCCCTGGATACTCCCTTTTACTCTAATGTTTTGAAGTGTTTCAGGATTTTCTGTGATAAATTAAATATTTTTAAAGTAGATAATTATGTACTTGTAAATTCTAGAATCTGCTTATCAGTTTCTTCAAAAGTCAGATTCATTGAATTGACAGTTCAGTTTGAAGAGAAGTGCCATCTTAATAATAAGACTTTAGATGTATGAACACAGAGTACTTCTTTTATTTATGTTTCTAGTTTCTTTCAGCAGTTTAGTGTTTTGAGTTTCTTCCCTAGCATATTTGTTTTCTAATTTAAAATTGTTCACAGCTACTATAAATAGAACTACACTTGATTTTTTCTGTTGCCTTTCTCTTCTGGGACATTGCTAAACTTTATTTTAGTGTCTTTTATGGTAGCTTCTTTTGGATGTTTTATATAAACAATCATGTCTCTGTAAATAAAAGTTTTAATTTATTGTAGTATGTATGCCTTTTTATATTTTTCTTGCTTAAGAACTTTGTGTGATTCAAGTTTATAAACTTCTCTTCTAATACACATTTTGTACCTTTATATTATTTTATTAAAGGAACCCTGGTGGTACGGTGGTTAAATGCTCACTGATTCAAACCCACCAGCTGCTCTATGAGTGAAAGAATGTGGCATTCTGTTTTCATATAGATTTATAGTCCTAGCAAGGTATGGAGTAGTTCTACTGTCACTGTGAGTCATGTTTAACAAGATAACAAGGATGGTGTTTTGTTTTGTTTTTTAAAAAGCTAAAGAACAATCAGAAGCTACTGGTTTCTTTGCATATTATTTCATTTTACCGTACATTAAACCTCCTGTGTTTGTTTATTTGTTTTATTCAATTTTAGGCCCTAGAGATGTACAAGGATGATTGGAATAAAGTGTCAGAACATGTTGGAAGTCGTACTCAGGATGAATGCATCCTCCACTTTTTGAGGCTTCCCATTGAGGACCCATACCTTGAGAATTCAGATGCTTCACTTGGTCCTTTGGCCTACCAGCCTGTCCCCTTCAGTCAGTCGGGAAACCCAGTCATGAGCACTGTTGCTTTCTTGGCCTCTGTGGTGGACCCACGAGTGGCGTCTGCTGCAGCGAAAGCGGCTTTGGGTACAGATTCATTAAGCCAACTTTGCACTATAAAATTTACTTTTAATATATAATTAACAATTTTTAAAACATATCCTTTAGAGGTACCATCTACTGTTTTTAAAGTATTATAACTTTTTAAAGCATTTTAATTGTTCTTGAATAATTAGGAGCATTCATTTAAAAATGAAGACACAAGAGTTTTTCATGGTATAATTTTGTGGTTAATACTTGATTTTATATAATCCATGAAAGCTATGTAATATTCTTTGATTATATTAATCATAGTTGTAACTTTCTTACATTATATAACTTTTTCTTTGCTTTAGGGTTATCATTCTAGCCAGTAGATAGATAAATTTGAACAATAATTTCAATTGTTACTTACAGAAATCCGAAGAATTCAGTTTTTTATAACCTTAAGATACTGTGAAAAGTTTAGTCATAGAATTTCATCACTGTATATGATTCTTTCGTTTGGCTTTCTCATTTTGCTAGTATAGGGACCAAGTCTTAGAGGTCACTATGTCTAAAACATTACTGTTGCTTCAGTTTTCCCAGCAAATGTTGATGCTAAAGCTGGTCACTATTCTTCTTCTTCTTCTTTTTTTTTGAACAGAGGAATTTTCTCGAGTCCGGGAGGAGGTACCACTGGAATTGGTTGAAGCTCATGTCAAAAAAGTACAAGATGCAGCACGAGCCTCCGGGAAGGTGGATCCGACCTATGGTTTGGAGAGCAGCTGTATTGCAGGCACGGGACCCGATGAGCCAGAGAAGCTGGGTAAGTCAGTCCTGCATTGTAGTTTATCAAAGGACAGAACTAACAAATCTGTATATTAGTTTATTAGAATAATTGGGTTTACTTCCATTTAAGAGTGTAATCAGTATAAACCTAATTCAAGGTAAGTGATAAAAAAATTATTTTTCTTTTGTCTTCCTTTTAGTTATTTATTTAGTTGTTATTCTTAAGTACTATCAAATCAGTTCTGACTTATGTTTTTGTTGTTAAGTGCTGTCGAGTCAATTCCAACACATAGTGACCCTGTACAGGGTTACTGACACTGTAAAATCTTTATGGGAGCAGAAAGCCTCATCTTTCTCCCATAGAGCAGCTGGATAGAAACCGTGTATAGGGTTTCTAAGACTTGTAAATCTTTGCAGAAGCAAAACACCTCATCTTTTCTCATCATTGGGGTACTTAGAATTTAAAATTTATTTTAATAGTATCATAGTGGTAAAGTATATGATGGATATTTTTATTCATTTATTGTTGGTCTTTAGGCCGTATTAATAGAATTTCACTAAGAACTTAAATACCTAAATGTAATGATAAAGGCATTGGAATTCATTAATATCTTAGCTTCAAGGTGATTTTCTAATAATGTACATCTACCACTCTCGTGTGGTGCTGTGGGATTAAAGCACTACACTGAAAGGTTGGTTAGAACTCAGCAGCCACTCATTGGAAACCCAATACAGGGTTGCTATGAGTCAGAACCAACTCAGCGTCACTTAACAACAACAACCCTAAATTGAAGCAATTTTTTATAGTTTCAGCTGTCCAAGAGATAATTCCTAATAACTTTTTGCATCCTTTCTTTTCTTTTTCTGTTAAGAGAGAAAATAAGGAATGGTGCATATCAAAATCAAAGTCTTCAGGAATCTGAGGATTTTACATAGTCTATGTGTTCTCTTTGTCCCAGTCACATGAAAGCCAGCTATGAGCACAGCCCTCAGCCTTTCTTTTTCTAAATACAGAGATATTTCACCATCAATGTAGAAAGGGTTTTTGACTTCTAACATGGGTGCTGATACTAGCAGCTTTTCATTACCAACAATAAAAAGGCTAGGATCATCCCTAGAAAAATCTGGTAGAACTGAATATATGGCCACCATCTTCATATGTTTTTACATTTCTTCTTCTGTTTTCAGTTTCTATATTTATTACCACAGTATTATTTATGTAAATGGAAAACTATCCATAAACAAAACAATAAATATATTTTACCAGGTTTTAAGTGAAGAGGACTTAAAACATTTACTGATGAAGATCAAAGAGCACAGTCTTCGGTATAGATTACATGTCAATATCAAGAACAAAAATCCTCACCATTGGACCAAAAAACAACATTCTTATCAACAGAGAAAAGATTGAAGTTGTCAAGGACTTCATTCTTCTTGGATCAACTATCAACACTCATGGAAGCAGCAGTCAAGAGATCAGACGATGTATTGCATTAGGCAAATCTGCTGCACAGGAACCTTTTAAAGTTGGAAGAGCAAGGATGTCAGCTTGAGGACTAAGGTGCACCTGACCCAAGCCATGGTATTTTCAATAACCTCATATGCATGCAGTAGCTGGAAAATGAATAAGGAAGGCCGTAAGACCGTAGAAGAATTGATTCTTTTTAGTTATGGTGTTAGAGGAGAATATTGAAAGTACCATGGGCTGCCAAAAGAACCAATAGATCCGTTTTGGAAGAAGTGCAGCCAGAGTGCTCCTTGGAGGCCAAGATGACCAAACTTCATCTCTCATACTTCAGATATATTGTCAGGAGGGAACAGTCACTGGAGAAGGGTATCATGTTTGATAAGGTGGATGGTCAGAGAAAAAGAGGAAGACCCCCAGCATGATGGATTGGCCAAGTGACAGCATCGATGGAGTCTGGGGTTGCCACAGTAGTGAGGTTGGCCCAGGATTGGGCAGTGTTTCGTTCTGCTGTGCATAAGGTCACTGTGGATTGGAACTGACTCGATGGCACCTAACAACAGCAGCAAGGTTTTATACCTAGGTTAAAGAAAGTAATGAAAAATGGCATGGCAGGTAGATATTCATGATGTAAGAACATAATGAAGTCTGGGGGTACTGGAAGAAAATAATAACAATTATAAAGGAGGAACTTTCATTTACTTCTCATTATTTGACAATCACTAAGAAGTATGAGTTTCTAAATAAGTACCTTTGAGAATAAAAAAGCAACAACAACAAAGCTGTTGACCTGAGTTGGTTATTCCTCTCATTTCCTACTAATTATTTTAGCAAGCCTCTTTTACTATAAAGGAAGTTCACAGAGAAACCTTAGCATGACATACCTGGAAATTTACTTTGAAAGAGAGAAATGCACTAGATTTTCCCAAACAGTAAGTGTTTAAACTTGCCTCTGCAATTAGTGGATATCCGGATGCCACCAAGTTCCCTCAATAATACACATGTCTTAGTCTCATTAATTTGCATTCACACACACAAAGATCCACTTATAATAGTAGTTTCTAAGGTGAATCTGTTGACCTGGTTTATTTCAAGGCAGAGGTGTCATCTCAGAAGATTATGGTGACTGTTACTTGGGACTCCATACGGGGGTTATCATTATAGATTATCTTTTGTGTGTATGTGAACTAAGTGGTAGTTTACTGGGAAAACATTGGCTTTATATTATCATTTAATTGCTGTGATTACAATCTCCTCCATGCATCATCATTCAACAGTATTTGCTTCCATTCCTTCTGGGTTTTTTTGTTTGTTTGTTGTTGTTTTTTAGGGTGGGGTGGGAAGATGTACACAAAAACACTCAGGAATATATAATAAATTAAACAACCAAAGGGCACATTCTGCAAGCCTGCCTCCTGGTTGCCAGCACTCAGTCCCTCTCTTTCCACGAGTCCTCTCATATCTACCTCCATCTCTGGTATCACTTTATGGTTACAGTATTTCATTGCAAAACAATATTGATTGGATTATCTGCCACTATATAAGAATTTGGCATGTTTCTGAATACTTTTCCAAAATGTGCTTTGTTGTAGGAAGTTAGAATTCTCTGGACATCTGATAAGGGCATTTCAAGAAGGGAAACCTTTTAAGAATGTCCTTTAAAATGTCAACTTCATAATTCCAAAGTTTGGCTCATCCTGTTGTCGGTTTCTTTCTAGTCCTTTTCTTTTATCAGATATTCTTACTGGAGCCAGTTAATATGTTCGTTTACTTCACAATCTTATCAAACATCTACTTTTTCCTTGATAGTATGAAATTCATCACATCTCAGGTCAGCAAGAGATTGCCATGTCTGTTTATGCTCATTTATCATTACTTGTTCATCATCATCACTGGTCTTCAAACATATTTAAACCAATCTATGAGTACTCGTTTCCATAATGAAAAAAAAAGTCCCAGCCATCCTCATCCAGGAAAGGGTGGGCTTGCAGTAGGTTGTTGACCACACACTGTTGTGCCTGCTGAGTGCTGGGATTCAGTGAGTCTTCCAGGTACTTAGTCATGTCTGCCTGGAGAAACTCAAATTATCCTTATCCTCAGTTTACAGCTGAATAGAAAGATGGCATCTGCTCCCCCTAACTGGCTCTGGACTAGAAGACTGCTCATTCTGTGAGGATGCTCATTTTGTAGGGCTTCCAGGAGCCATCCATCCTTAACAGTTCTGCTTATTAGTAATCACATCCATCAGAATAGCCTGGTGCCCAAATTTTTTTTTTTTAAACAGCTGCTGAACCATCTGATGATCATTAAGTGCTTCTTCCGCTTGAAACCTATGCACTAGCTCTCCTAAATTTTTCTCCACTGGCCAACTGCAGACATAATCAATTGAACAAATTTTCATTGCTGAATTCTATAAAATGTACCACTTAAGAGACTGGTAGTCCAAATTTAGAACACTGGTTCTACAGGAAGGCTTTCTCACTCTTTTGGCCCTAGGTTAAGGACTTTGTCTCTCTTGAGCATCAGAAGGCCCGATATTCCTTGGCGATCTCCGTGGTTTTGGCATCTATCTTAATCTCAGTTCTAAATCCAAATGATGTGCTTTGCTCCCAGTTCTTTCTTAGTGATAGTCTATGATAAATATTTTTAGATGCAAATCTTTTTTTGTGTGTGTGTGTAGATATATATGCCGGGGACTGGCTCGACATAGGGGTTCGGTTCACGAGGAGGAGATACCTGGTGGCGATAGAGATTGCAAAAGCAACACAGAGACGCAAAGAGAGAGACAAAGAGACACCCCGAAACCAAGGTGAATGCTGGACTGGCATCAGGCAGATCCTGCATTGCAAACATCTCAGCCACGAAAGCCGTAATATCCTGCATAGTAAACAGCTTAGCTAAGCAGGCAATATGGTTGCAATGCTGGACTGTGCCCCCTGCATGCTGTAACGCAGGCCTTGCCAGTCATAATGCACTTGGATTCATTCTGCGCCTTCCTTTTTTTTAGGGGAGGTACTTTACACAAAGCTAGTAGGTACTAAGACAAGGTACAGCTGTCAATCTTACTTTTCCAGACATTCAGGCAACTTTACATCATACTTCGCAGGTTCAAATCTCATCACAGCAACTTGGTTTCTCAAGCTTAATTAACATACCTTTTAGCACCTAGCCTCAAATGGGGGGAGGAAGATTGGGAGGATTCCTATTGTGTTGGCTGCCCAGCCCAGGTTCTTCAGGAAAAGAGGCTCCTGGGTGAATAGGCAGCACCTGGAAACACTTTAGGGAGGGCATTCCTATTGTCCTTGGAACAGACCAGGGAGTCACCCAATTTACCTTGAATGAATTCTCTGAGGGAAGAACTTTGCCTGTTTGGAATTTTACAGTCTTGGTTTTTAGAAAAATATTACATTTATCTGTGTATATCAAGGTCTTCATGTCTGCAATTAATAAAACATAACTGGACACTAAGATTAAAAATAATTTGTTACTAAACTGCCAGGTGGCTAGATCTGTTCCTCAGAGCCTGCGACCTGTAACACTCGGGCCAATAGGGCCTCGAACCTCTGACCAGGCCTTCACGGTCTGCAACATATATATAAATATATATAAATACTAAGGACTTTCATAGTTATTTTAATTTATATTATGCTAAATTTTAGCTCGTTTTTGTTTTGCTTTGGCTTTTTCTTTAACTTTTTGAGAAACCACCAAACTACTTCTCATAATGGGTAACACCAATTTTTATTTCCAATAGCTAACAACTTTTGTTATTGTCCCTTTTTTTAAGTTATACTCATCCTAACAGGTATGAAATATTCTGATATGTATTTCTATAATGACAAATGCTGTTGAGCATCTTACATGGTTGTTGGTCAAATTTTAGAAAATGTCTGTTCCAGTCCTTTGCCCAATTACCTTTTGTCTTTTTTATTTTTCTTGTGGCATCATGAGCTGTTGTTAACTGTGTTAACCATAAGGTCACCAGTTCAAATCCACCAGCCATTCCATGGGAGAAAGATGAGACTTTCTGAACCCATAACATTTTCCAGGTTCTAAAACCTTATACAGTCAGTATGACTTGGAATCAACTCAACATCACACAGCCAACATCTATTAGGATACTTCAGTAGAAAAATTAAAAGATAATTTTTCTGTTAACTTTTTGAAGCCCCCTCGTGTGTGTACACATCCATACAAAAACACTTTCCATTTCAACATTGATGTGGTAAAGAAGGTTTTATAGTAACATAATTCCCTAGGCCGTTATAATTTTTTTTTTTTTTATGTTTATAGTGAATTATGTGATAGTTTACATGGGTGAACATTAGCTTTATGTTCATCCAATTGTATATCGTTTCATTGCCATGGTTACAGTCCTCTTCATGCATCATCAACCAACCAAAGGGTATATACTCTGCAAGCCCCTCTCCCTCTCTAGATCTAGAGTCCCCAGCTGCTCCATCTCTTCACATCATCATCTCCACCTCCATCTCTCGCATTACTGCTTCTCTGGGTGGTAGAGTCCCGAACACCACTCTTCTCCCTAATGGTTCCAGGGACCTCTGCTCTTGGACTGCAAAGTCAATCACTCCCCTCCTTTTGCTACAAAGCATCTACCTTTACATTTCCAACCCTCACAGTCAGTCCTGATAACAATTCTTCACCATTGTACAACAAGGAATTTATCCCCACCTCCTTTCATTAGCCCTTCCCAGACAGATTGGGTACTACTTTGTGGAGATTCTACCTTCCTGCACCCTCTGGATCTAGCCTCTCTCTTGAAAACTTGTAAGCCAGTCACTTCTTGCCTTTGTACTCTTCCCCCCACCCCCATTGGGTAGCCAGTGTGTCCAAGTTCCCCATCCCTGTCTCCTCTGTGTATGGATGAGAGTGAATGATCCTTGCTGTAAAGATGTGTTCCCTCTTTTCAGCTACTGCATCCATGGTCACTTAGTCGGAACCGTCTTGACAGCAGTTAACAACAACAATACCTGTATGATGCCTTTCATTTTTTTTTTCCATATTGGATTATAGCTTCATACTCTTTTACTTGTGTAGATGGAGCTGAAGAGGAAAAAATGGAAACAGATACTGATGGGCAGCAAACTGAAAAGGTGAAGTGTTTCTGAATTCTTTCACATCAGTATAGCCATAGAGAGCATACCTTTCAGAGAATATTAGTTTAGGTTATTTATTTATTTTTTTTCTCCAGATCTCTTGAGCCCCTCTCAGGGAACTATAAATGGTCCTCTCTCAGCCACGTAGACATTGCTTTGAGGTATAGTTCTCCCATGGTATAAATAGGGCATTTAACATTCATTCATTCATTAAAGTTTTATCCAGTCTGTGAGACACAGTTGGGAATATGAACAGAACAGTAAGGGATTTTCTAATAGCATTAGTAGTCTGCACAAGAAAATTTAGAGAAGTCTTAATGATAAGGCAACATTTGAGCTAGGTTTTAAAGTATAGGTAGAACTATGAAAATTTGAAATGAAGGCGAGTGAATAAAAGATTTCGACTAGCTGGCAAGGTACCACACTGAAGTCAGTTTGTGAAGGGCATCAAAGTGGCCAGTATGTCTGTTCCCTGATACCTGTCAACATAAGATGGGTTAAACAGAATTGGACTTGGCAGCCTTTTAGGTCTGGGGTCTGTTTATCCTCCACACGATCATAGTACATGATGACAGTCCGTCTTTGTTTGCATAAATACATTCGAGTACGGATTTACATCCTTGGTTACATGTAGGATAATAGTAATGTACATTAGAGTTCTTGATTTGAGCTGTACATTTGTGATTTCATTTAATCCTAAAGTAACATAATCAAGTCAATGGTGATATCTTCCTTTTTTACACAATTTTACATTATTTGTTCAAGGCCAAATTTTAGATATTTTAGAATCAGCAAATGATACCAAATATTGACCTATGGAATTAAGGTTTGCATTCATCAGAGTGTCATCACTGCTCTCCTATTATGAATCTTCTTCCTAAAAAACATTAGTAAATAGCTATATTAAGGATTTTGTCAGCTTGTTATTTTAGCAACCTTTCATCTTATTTTGTGGTCTATTCATACAATTATTACCTTTATCTGTTTCGTAAGTATTCACACAGGCAGTCTTCCCTGACGTTACATTAGCAATTGTAACTTGTGGCTTTCCAGCAGAGGATGCAGAAAAGTAACGACTATGTGCTAATGTGTGCTATCTTGTGAGCAGTCAGTATTGAGATGGAGAAAGATTTGAATCTGAATTTATCTATTTTTTAGCATTTTCCTCTAAGGCAAGTCTGAACCTAGTTCACTTCCTGCAAAAACAATGCTGGACCCTTTTATTAGTTTGAGATGATATTACTTATATGAGGACCATTTTTAACTTACTTCTTACTGTCTATTTTTATATCCTTTTCAGACAGAAAACAAAGTTGAAAATGAAATGAGTGACAGTGATAAAGGACAAGATGGAGAAAATGAAAAAATAAGTGAGAAGGAACAGAATAATGATGTTAGTGAAGATATTAAATCAGGTAATTTGAAGAAACTCAAATTATGCCATAAAACTATAAAAGATACTGGAAAATTATGATCAGTTTAATTGTATAGATTATATTTGCTGATTTATTTTGGGTTTGGTTTTTAATATAACAGGGTATGTGTGTTACCGTTTGCCAATGGGTTCCAGTCCTGATGCTAGTGGCTAAGTTTTCTTGCTCTTTTCAATAGTTTATGGATGAACAGGTTACTCACTGACTGATGTCACCAGACAGACCCGCCATGTTATTTTTAGTGTCTGTTGCTTACATGCACATCTTAACTTTCTCAAGAGGCTTGTAAAAGTACTCTATTCTCAGCTTCTAATTTCCTCCAGCCCTAAGGGTTTCCCAGAATATTTCATTTACTGATATACAAACATGTAGGTTTTATGACATGGTTCCCTTGAATTTTCTTTTATATACAAGAGGACAACATACCGAGTTTAGAGAAAGGGCAGACAGAGTGTACCATTTGGACAATCCATCCTAAGCAGAATCTGTTTTCAACACATGGACATGGTTCAGAAAAATCATAACAAAAAGGAAACGGCACTAAGATCTCTCGGTAATATCTGCCCTAATTTGTCACATTGTGAATGTGTGAGTTAAAGGTGGTTTATTAAGACTGGGCATACTACTAATAAAGGTTTCTGAATTTTTCAGAAGAAAAGGAGACTGAAGAGAACAAGGAACTCACTGATACATGCAAAGAAAGAGAAAGTGATACTGGGAAAAAGAAAGTAGAACATGAAATTTCTGAAGGAAATGTAGCCACAGCCGCAGCAGCTGCTCTTGCCTCCGCTGCAACCAAAGCCAAGGTTTGCCCCAATAGTCCTTGTACAGCGCTCTCTTAAGCCATGAATGGTCGTATTGTTTTTAGGTCATTGGGAACCTTTTATAAAGAGCCTTGCACCCAATAGGAGTTAACGATTAGCTTGAATGGCAGTTCTAGGTTAGGAAATCTACAGGCAGGAAGAGGATGGTAGAAATAATAGCTCCTACCCTAATGGATGACCGTCTTCAATGAGTTTATTGTGTCATTCAGCCTTGTAAAGGCTACAGAGATTAAGGGAAGATTTAGACTCTGTAAGGGACTAAATTATCTTTTTGTATTTAAGAAGGTAACTTGCATGCACATCTTGTCTTGGACAGTTATTCCAATAATTTCTACCAGATTGAAATATTTATGGTTTATCAGACAAAAATCTGTTTCCTCCTTGTACAAATACTTCACTCTGCTTTTAGAGACTCAGGAGAGAGAGAGAACCTAAAATAGCTCTTTTTTCTTCTTAAATTTGCCAGCTTTCTTGTGGGTGGTTTTCTCTATTTATAACAGAATCCACTTAACAGCATATTTAAGAAGACATGATAATGTTATTTCTCTGCTTTGTGTTAAATTAGCCCTTTAAGGCATTTCAGACATGAATATGTGAAGAGTTTTTTTGTTGTTGTTTTATTTTTTAAATAATATGTCTTAGGTGAAAGTTTAGAAAGCAAATTAGATTCCCATTTAATAATTTTTATGAAACTTGTTTCCTGACATTGGCTACAATTTGCAGTGTATCAGTATTCTCATTATTTCCATTCTTTTGGTATGTTTCTATTAATCTTGCTTCCCTACTCCTCTCTTAGCTTTTAATTTTAGTTTAAGGTGAAATTTGACCATTTAATCTCATAGAGTTTATTTAAGGGAGCAGCACAGTATTCACAGGCATTACTGTTTATAAGCCAATCTATTATTTGGAGGAAAGATGACCACTAGAAGTGGCTTCAGTTCCAATCCCAACATGTTTCTTAGGGTGATAGTCTCAGGTGTTCCTCAAGTTACTTTCAGTCCTGTTGTTGTTACGTGCCATCAGGTTGGTTCAGACTCATAGCAACTACGTATAGAGTTTCTAAGGAGCAGCTGATAGATTTGTATTCTTAACCTTTTAGTTTGCATTCCAGTGCTTAACTTGCAAGTACCAAAGCAGTCCAGTGAGTGTGGTTTTTTTAGGAATTTGAGTTTTTTTTTAGAGTTTTCTCCCTTTCTGTTCAAAACCTTTTATTTTGTCCTTGGTAGTAACTAGGCACTATCTAGTTCCTCTGGTCTCAGAGTGGATGAAGTTGTGGTTCGTATTTTTTTAACTTTTTATTGTGAATCGGATGAAGTTTATAGAGCATCAGTTTTATATTCGACAATGTATATATATATATTAATGTTTTGTTGTGAATTACATGATAGTTTACATGGGAGAACATTAGTTTTACATTCATCCTATCTTACATCATTTCATTGCCATGGTTACAATCCCCTATCCATATGTATATGCATCATCACCTAACCAAAAGGTGTACACTACAAGCCTGTCCCCCACCCGGTTATCAACACACAGCCCCTCTCCCTCTGTGTCTAAAGTCCCCAGCTGCTCCATCTCGCCACGTCATCATCTCCCGCTCTCCACTCTTCTCCCTTCATGGTCCCAGGGACCTCTGCTCCTACACTGAAAAGTTAATCACTCCCCTCCTTGCTACAAAACGTCTACCTTTACTTATCCAACCCTCACAATCAGTCCTAATAACAATTATTCACTATTGTATCATAAGAGACCTATCCACATTTCATTTCATCAACCCTGCCTAGACAGATAGCATACTACTCAGTGGAGATTCTATTCTTCCTCCGCACCCTCTGGATCTAGGTTCCATCTTGAAAGCTTGTAAGCCAGTCACTTCTTGCCTTCGTAGCACCCCCATTTTGGGTAGCTAATGTCCAAGTTGCCCATCCCTGTCCTCTCCATGTGTGGAGGGGGTGGGAATGATCCTTGCTGTAAAGATTTGTCCCTTCTTTTGAGCTATTGCATCCATAGGTGTAGGTCCAGTTCATCAAAATGTATCAGATTACTCTTTTTTTTTTTTCCCCCCCTCTTCTTTCTTCTTCTAGTTGAGCTCTGCTCATCCAGTCATTGAAGCCAGGTCAAGTGAGTATTATCTGCAAGTGTGGGTGTTATTGTGCATATGCCCTCTCTTATCAGCTGGACGCTTCATTCTCCACTCTAGTCCTCTGTGGCTATGTCGCTGACTCTGGGCCCAAGAGTCTCCAGGTCTTGCCACACTGCTGGCCAACCAGAACTCCACCTGGGTTCATAGGAGGCTGTTGAATGTTGTAGGGCTTATTTTGCAGCTTCATTACTGTTTTTCCCTCACTTTTCTTATCAGTGATGAACGAGGTCACCAATCAGAGCATGTATTCCCAGTTGAGTCTTAGTCTTGGAAGGGGTTTTACTCTGAGGGAACCGAACCACTTGCCTTGATGTCTCCTGGGCAAAGCAACTTGCTTGTTCTTGTAGTAACAGTCAGTCTGCCTATATTGTCTGATATTTTTCCTGTAGGTCTTTATTTCAAGAAGTATCTTTTGTTCTTCTAGCCACTCCAGGCTGGTCTGCTCGTCCTTTCAAGTGGAAATTTTCCACCTGAAAATTCTAGATGTGGTTCAGGATTCCACCTGTAGTCTTATGTGATGTAGAAACTCCACAAGAAGCCTCCTCCATTGGGCACGTTGTAGCCCCATTTTAGGTATTCAAATCAGTTATAGGCAGAAGACCGATTTGCAATCTTTCTATGGTGACGTTTCTGGCTATTCGTTTTTCTCCCCCTCCAGTGTCTTATTTTATAATGGTATTCCAGGGAAGCCAAGATTCAAAAGCCAGCCAAGCATCTTAACATTATTGCCCCCTTTTTCCCATTCCAACCACATCCCAATCCCTGTATCGCAGAGCCCTGTTGTTCAAGGTTGTGCATACATCGTTATTTACCTCTGTCCCACTTAGCCCATGCAAACCTGCCTAAATATTCTTCCATCTGCTTTGTTCTTCCATTCTCCTCTCCCTTCTTGTATATTGCTCCCCTCCCCAGCACCCAAACTATCCTGTGTCTATTCCCTGCCAAGTATTCCACCCTCCCTTCCCTCCCCCACCCCTCCTCACAATTAATATATATTTTGTTTAATCTTAGTGTTTACAATCTTCTCCATGTAACTTCAATTATCCTACTTCCTTGTGTATCTTGTTTTTTACTGTGTGAAGTTTAAAAAAAAAACCCTTCACCTATTTTTCATTCTACCACCAGAAGTGGTTGTTAGAACAGTCCTCCTTTTGTCTTGAATTGGTACCATTAAAACTTCTATTCTTGATCAACTGGTAAGATGCTCTTTCTTGGTCTTTAATTTCCTCAGAGCAGTCAGCTGCTGTGAATACTTCATTATGCATAATTTACAACAGACTATATACTAGCACTAAGGAGCTCTGGTAGCGTAGTGGTTACGATTAGGGCTGCCAACTTCAAGGTCAGCAATTCGAAACTACCAGCGGTTCCATGGGAGAAGGATGAGGCGTTCTGCTCCCGTAAAGATTTACAGACTCGGAAACCCTGTGCAGGGTCGCTGTGAGTCAGAACCGACTCCATGGTACTTAACAACAACATATATGCGTACTGGCGGTGCTGTCAAATAAGCCCTGGACTGCTAACCCACCAAGTGCTCTGCAAGAGAAAGATGAAGCTTTCTTTCCCAATAAAGATTTATAGCCTTGGAAGTCCTATACAGAGTTACTATGAGTCAGAATCAACTCTATGGCAGTGGGTTTATATATGACACAATGCAAACCACCAGACTGCTAGTTTGAGTATTTATACATCTGACATAGGTGCAGAAGTTGCAGGGATGAGAGCTAGGGTAAATATTTTTATAGATTTCTTTAGTAGGATCAGTACATATAGTATCCCAACTGATAGATGTTATTACAACAGTTTGAGGATTTTCATATTTTTGTTTACAGGTATGTTTGAAAGATATCTCATGATCTCTGTAGTTATTGTCTCAATTATTGGTAACTTCTCTACCTTAACAATCTTACCCCTAGGTATTTTTGAGGTACTCTTTTGTTTAAGTGAGTACTGTTGTAGACACCAATTTAACTATTAATTGACATCTTTCTTGTTGTTTAGAGCTTATTTTATCTTCTGCCTGGTTGAATAGTTTGAGCATCTCCTAGTCTTTAGAGACTCTAAGGTTGTCTTAGACATAATCTCTCATTTTATAGATGAGAAATTTAGAGAGCACAGGGGCTTGACTTTCTGTGTACCTTTCTCAGGTCATTGCAGTGCCATCTACCATGTCTTTAAAATCTCCTTCAAATCCTCTTCATTTCTTACTCATCCATTATCCATAGCTGTTCAGCTCTTTTAAGTCTTTAATGGGCATTAGTTCATCTGCTAATGTCGAGATTCATTTCTTTCTCCTTAAGTCAACTTCCCATCATTTTCTGTCTCCTCCATTCCTTTCTATATCATGCAACCCAAGTACTTTTTAAAAATTTAAATAGTTTATTGAAATATACCTTGAATTTAATTAAGTGAAAAAATAAATCAGAAATTAAACCCACCACTGTAAACAGCACCCATACCAAGAAACATGACATTAGCAGTTTCCCCAGATACTTCATTCCTTTATAATTTCTTTGCCTTCTCCCAAGGGAATAACTAGCCTGTCTTCTAAAACTGGATTTATTTTTCCTATTTATAACTTGATATTACTGGAATTGTACAGTGTTACCTTTTGTCACTTTTTCCCATAACCTCCTTATTTCTTTCTGTCTAACAGTCCCAACTCTTACGTTGGGAAGTACTTTTTTGCAACCAAGATCCTTCTTAATCCTCAAGCCCCGTTTCTTGCCTGTTCTACCTTAATTGCTCTTGCAGTTCTACCAGACAGAACCCACTCTCTTCTTTGAATCTGGGCTTTTTGGACTCTCTCCCCTCTCACAAAATCTCTCACTCTTCT